AATAAAGATGAATTTAACTAATCAAAAAAAAATCAAGGTTTATAATGCCTAACAAATGTTAAATATTCTTCGACTGTTGTCATTTGTGAAATCTTTTGCTTATCTGCTTTTCTTTTCCTTGAACTTGGTCGACGACTTTTAACTTTATTGATAAGTTCGGACAGATTGAGGAAATAACGTCGAATGATTCTCAAATTTTTTATTTCTAAAAACGCCGGAGGATGAATTAATTTAAGCTTACGAATTAGTTCTTTATTGCTAGCTTTTCTTTTTGATATTAAATGTTTGGTCACATTAATTGTTAATATTCCTGTTTCAACCAAACGTCCATAAATATTAGGGGTATTTTGACGGTGTACGTAAATAATGGCTGATATTTTGTTTTTATATTCTTTTAAAATTTTAATCAGACTTTCTGGTGTAAGTGGGTTATCGTTGTTTGATCTATGCTTGCTCAATGAAATATTTATAACATCGTGCCAAATTATAAAGTTTTTCTCCATCATACATTTTGGGGAATTGCTTAAAAGATATTGAACAGTCTTTTGCCGGTTATTTGCATTCAAATTAAAGCTTAAACCTGGAACTGCTTTTAAAGTGTCGTCGAGGCGTTTTTGTAGAGTTAATGGTAATGTATTTATGGAGTGATGGAGAGAACTCGCAGCAATGATGAACACCATTGAGAGTGATAAGCGATACGATTGTTTTAATGACAATCAATTTAAGGAGTCTGTTGATGTAAAGTCGTCACATAGAAATGAAAAAAAAAAAAATTATCACGATAAGAACTTTAAGAACCCTTAGCTGAGGGTTTTGTAAGGTTTTGCTAAGGCTTCGATTCAGTACTATTTAAGTTAACGCGTACGGTTTATCGGTTAAACTCAACGACGTTACGGCGAAACGGTAGTAGTAACGGTCGCGGCGGTATGCGGCCGAAAACGGGGCGAGCCGAGCAAATTTTTTAAAGTTTATCCAACCACTGGAGGAAACCGAGGTAGGGATTCACTCAAAAAACTTGCTCGACACGATTGACGGTTTAAACGTTTGAACGGGCGAGACGAAAACGGTGTTTTCCGATGTTGCTCTAAATTCGGGCAAAAAAAAAAAAAAAATTTTTTGTCAGTGAAAGTTTTGGGAAAAGTTGGAATAACTTTTTTTTTTCGAGAAATTTTTTATGTTTTTTTTGAAAATTGTTATGTATTTTTTTGCAAAAATTTTTTGGAAAATTTTCTGAATTTTTTTTTGTCACAAAATTTTTTGGGTTCGAGATTATCCTGGGGTAATAGGGTACTGGGTATGAACTAGGATTAGGTATCTAGTACGGTCTAAATTGGTTTGCAATTAACAACATCGTATGTAATTTTATAGCACTGATAATCAAAAAAGTAGTTTTTTTTTGGTTTAAAAACTAGCACAAATTAGAGTCTAAAAGTTAGTTGAAAGCACAGGTTCGATCTTACAAGTTTTTGCAGGTTGTTCACCTGGCCTGAGTCCAAAAGTACACGAAGATTCTACAGAAAAACCACTTTCCGCCTTGTGTGATGTCGGCCTTCTGGCTTGTCGGCTTTGTTTTGACTTGTGGTGCTTTCCCCGTTTTTGGCTTGAGGTCACACGAAATTGTGGAGGGCTCCTTGATTTGGAGAATGAGGTCGCTCAAAATTGTGCAGGGGTCGTTCCTTGCTTCAATTTGAGGTCGCACAAAATTGTGCAGGGGTCGTTCCTTGCTTCAATTTGAGTTCGCACAAAATTGTGCAGGGGTCGTTCCTTGCTTCAATTTGAGGTCGCCTAAAATTGTGTTCGAGCTGGGCCTTCTTTCAAAAATTCAAAAATTGAGGTCACACAAAAGTGTGCAGGGCTCCTTGCTTTGCAGATGGAGGTCTCACAAACTTGTGCAGGGGTCGTTCCTTGATTCAATTCGAGCTCGCATTAAATTTTGTTCGGGTCGGTCCTCAGTTGTGTGTTCCCGAGTCGCGGCACCAAAATATTCTGGCCTTTTTTATAACTTTTTTATAACTTATAAAAACAGGAAACAGAATCGGTCTAATTCAAGAGAATCAATAAACGGCGAATTTTAGTAATTTTTTATTGCACGGAATTAGCAACAACATTACACGTATCAAGTTAAAAAGTGGGCTTGTTCATGCCCTGATTTGTGTGATTTATGTGTTTTTTCACAATGAGTTCATACCTAATTCACGCAGTTTAATTAACAGAAACTCAATTGCAAACAAATTTTGAACCGATTAAAATATTAGCATTTTATGTTCTGTCAGGTTCGGCTCAAATAGGATTCTCAAATGAAACGACTTAGGTGAGAATCGAACCCACGCCGAACTCCCCGGAACGCACTATGTATACGCTGAGCTATATAGCTGATATTGATAAGCAACTATACTGGCTTTATACTATACTTTCATACTTTAATGCTATGTAGCATTAACACCCAACGCTTTTTTGTTTTCAAATTTTGCTGTATTCCACATTCCTTCGACTCGATTTGTACAAGAACCTGTGGTTAGATCGACAAAATTTTTGCAGTGTTTCACATTTTGATGCTCAAAACAACATTTTTCTATATCATTGTAGGATTTCTACTCGTCCGAAATAATTTTGCTGCCTGCAACTTTTTATGATAGGCATTAGCAAATCTTAAGTCGGATTCTCTAACGCATACAAAAATTAATCTCCAGTTTCCATGTAGATACCTCAAAACACTCATTGTTCTCTGACCGCTCTGCCCCCTTTGTACTTTCTTTTTCAACACAACTCTCATCAATTTCGACGGTTTTGCCTTTTCCACCAATTGTTTTCTGATTCTCATGTAAAAACTGGGCGCAAATTCTCAAACAAAATTATTCCAGTCGACAGTTGTTGCTTGGCCAATTGCGAGTTCCTTTTTACAAAAATTGATAAAAGTATAGTTTTCCGACCAGCAGTACAAGAAAAGTATAACCTGTTGATAGCTGAGATGAAGGCCTTCTAGCCAAGTTCCTGCTTTCAATTGTTTTTGTTTTCTGCATTTTTTCTTACATAATCTCCATCAATCTTCGCTATCCGCAAAAATTAATTTCATCTCATGTTCGCAATCACAGTATATTGTTTCATAAAAAAAAATTCTGTTTTGTAGAAGCTCAATGGAAATTTCTTTCGCAGAACACAATTTATACAGCTCAATAAAATAAATTCTGTAAATTTTTTTTCATGCATATCCGGTAATTTAAATATAATATCACGCGTTTTCGGTGTAGGGTTTGAAAGATTTTTTTGTTAGTTTTACTATACTCTATCGTTGGAATTGTATCAAATTTAAACTTGGTTCAAAATTGATGTTAAAAAATTCAATAAAATAAAAGGGGAACTGGAAAAGAGCCCAAAGTCGTAAAAAAGGTGGGGGAGGGGGAAAATGTTTTTGACCTGCCACTAAAATTTTGTTAATTTTATTGAAATTCCGAATGGCAAAAACTTGATACAAGGCGTCATTCTTATTGAGGGCTCTTATCCACTCCCCCGAAATGTCAAGTTTTCTAATTTCATAGTTCTTTTACCTGTTTTCAGGTCTAAATGCGTCGTATTACTTTATAAAGCATGATCGACAAACGTGTTCAGAACAGATATTTTGTTCACTATGCAAAGTTTCGTTGCATTATGATATTAACCCTGAAACATTTTTTCAACATTGAAAATCAAACGTGAGCTCTTTTCCATATTCCCCCCCTTCCTTTTGAATTTCAATTTTGAAAAGCCTATTTAACGTGGTTATAAGGCATTGAAATTTGGCGTGGTGAACAGAATGACAATTCTGAACAGATTTGTTCTTCATACTTTACAGCGTAACATCACGCATTTAGCCGTAATAACACGTAAAACAAACATAATACTCGGTATTTTGAAAGGGGGGAACTGGAAAAGAGCCCAAACGTGGGGTGGAAATGGAAAAAAGCAAAATTGAATAAAATGTACCCTTTTCATATTTGTTATGTATGCTAGTATGGTTTTGTATAACATACCTTGCTTATACCCAATGGAAAAAGTCTAACTTGAAACATTTAGCGAGCTTCAAAAAATTTTGAATGGTTTCCGACCTTGATTAAAAGACAGTCGGATTTATCATCAAATGCTGTGCTCTATACGAGTTATTTTGTGATTTTGGCTTTTGACGAAAGGGAGTGGTTTTTTACCACCCCCGCATATTTTAAGATTTCTGTTTATTAAGTTGTAGTAAATGTAAGAATGTGTAAATGAGTTATGTTACGATATAAATTATGAAAAACAAATCTAAGCACAACCGCTTTTCGTAACCTCAAGGACAACCGCTTTTCCTAATTTTTATTCAAGGATTTGATGCCTTGAAATAAAATGCCAAAACATAACCCGAGCTGATAATTATTCAATCAATATTGAACGAAGTGATTGTATATTTCGGTTTCGTGTTTTTGTTCAAATTACTATCAGTTTCTCTTTAATTTATAGGTTTTGAAGTCGCTTCTTGGGTAATTAATACCCTTTAGTGCCCAGTTTTATCTAAACGTTTGCGTGGTGAGTTAAGTTGGCTCTTTTTTCCACCCACTTAACATAAGCATCAATTTAATAGAGGGCTTTTACAAGGTTAAACATGAACACCAATTATGATTGTAATGGCCTAATCAGTTCGCACACCATTTTTCGTAACATTCGGATAATGTGAACAAAATTTCACTGGTCAAATTTTGCAGGTGGGGAAAAAGAAAAAGAGCCGTTAAGTCTCTTCAGATGAAGGCGACTTTTAAGTTTCAAAAACCTTAAAAAAATAAAAATGCTACTAAAAATTAAAATAATTCATTACGTTTAAAAACTACAACAGATACTATAATTAGCACTCAGAAAAAGGATAACAGTCATGTTTTGAGTTAACAGCTGTTCTTTACTTCCGAATTTTTCCATTAAACCTCTCACGTGTCGTTGCTGGAAGTTTCGTTCACAATAGTGTTTTCAATTGTTTTTTGCAATTTTTGCTTTTTTAGACCCCGTGTATCAGTCTGCGAGCCAAAAGGACCACAGCCGGGATCTCTTCCGGTCTCAGACCAAGTTCGACCGCATCGTAAGTGACCCTCACGCAACTCAAAACAGCTACACAATCGAAGCACTCAATTATTTTCAAAAAGCCCGTTCAAATTTGGGATTTTTTAAAATTAGTTTCTGAATTTGAAATCCTAGAAATTAAATTTCACCTAAAAAATAGTAGCACAAAAATATGGTTGTTAAGATCTACCTATCAATCCCCCCTTTCTTGAAATTCAGTAAATCTGGTATTTATTATTAACTTGAATGCATTTCACTGCGTTTTGCGGCTGTTTAGAAAAAGAATCCTGTGTATCCTAGTATGTTCAGCGAGTTGCGTCACTTTCCACGTGCTACAATTACCATGGACCCAACTGACCCTGTGCCTCGCTTCGTGTCCAGACAGTGGAAAGGGTATGCCGAGCAGGCCAGAGACGCTCTCGTACAGGTATGCAATGATTGACAGATTAATCCAAAAAAAAACTAGTTTTTCAATCTAAAAAAAAAGAAATTTCCCAATGATTCATTTTTTTATCAAAAAAAAAACAGAAAACAGAACTGCGAAAGGAAAATTTCTCATTTCAAAAACAGAGCTGCCAACGTTTAAGGGTTATCTTCTGATTGTCTTTTCTAGTTTAGGAGCGAAACAGATGAAAGCCCCTCCAAAGTTTGATGACAGCGAAAATTCATTATTGTTTTTTCAAGAGCAATTTGGCTTCAGTAATCATGACTGTTGATTTCCGGATGGTATATTTCGATGCAAATTAGTAGCTGTGATATTTAATTTAGTTAATCCTTACTAAAAAAACCACAAGCAAAAGGGTTCAATTGAGAAAATATGAGATAGATGTAACTTCTCTTTGTTTCAGTATAAGACTCTGAATTACGACGCTTCTGTGAATCTTCCCCCTCAGAATTATCCACAGGTGGACGTGGGAGGCGCGGAAAGGGCTAAATTCTTCCGACGGTATGATTATGCTAAGCAAACATAATTAACTTACCTAGGCTTAATTACTTTATCACAACACCCCCCCCCCCCCCCCCAACCCCCAATCACATATGGTACCTAATCAGAAGCGGATCTAGGATTTTCCTGAGGGGGGGGGGGCAGATTTTCAAATTTTGTCGACCTTTTTTATTTGGTCGATCGAATTGATTTTTCGAGCTCTCCCTACGCACAGCTTAGTCCCTGTTTTAGCCAAAATTTTTGGGCACTTTTTGGAAAATTTTGAAAAAAAATTCGTTTTTTTTTTTGGCGCGCGCTCTCCCTCAAAGTTTGTATATATTGGCTCCAAAGGCGCCTTTAGAAAAATTTTAGGGTCGGTCGGCCAAAAATGGATTTTTTAAAAAGTACCAAAGGGGGGACACTTTGGGTCGGCAAGGGGTCGAATCCCTGAGGAGGGGGGGGGGGCAGGGGCGGATCTAGGATTTTCTCGAGGGGGGGGGGGCGGATTTTCAAAAAAATTTCGAAAATTTTGACGACCTTTTTTTTTTTAGGTCGATCAGATTGATTTTCCAAGCTCTCCCAAAGCAGTAAAAAGACCCTGTTTTGGCCAAATTTTCTGCACCGCAGGCAAAATTTTAAAAAAAAAACAGGTCAAAAAAGCCGTTTTTGGGCACTTTTTGGAAAGTTTTGACAAAAAAACGCGTTTTTTTTGGCGCGCGCTCCCCTTCAAAATTAGTATATATTGGCGCCGAAGGCGCCTTTAGAAAATTTTTAGGGTCGGTCGGCCAAAAATGGAATTCTTAAAAAGTACCAAAGGGGGGACCCTTTGGGTTGGCAGGGGTTCGAATCCCTGAGGAGAAGGGCGTCCGCCCCCCGCCCCCCCCCCCCTAAATCCGCCCCTAGTTGTGTGATGCCAGCAAAATTTTGGGGATTTATTGCCACCCCTATTTAGAAATAATCCAATGGTTAAGCATCAGTGGATTTGGTACCTTGCAATTATCCCCCCCCCCCCTTTTTTGCTTAAATTGAAGGGGGGAAAAAGAGATCCGACTGTGGCTCCACAACGTACATCACAAGACTACTTTGCGTTTTCCACTTGGACATAAGCTTCCTCATTTCATTCAAGTTTTTATTTTTTGAAAATCGATTTTTAAAACGACCTGCATTTTTTCGTAATCTGAATTTTCTTTGCAAAAAAATGCGAGCTATAACGGAAAAGACCCCAAACTGCGATAATATGGTCCGAACTTAATGCAGACTACGTGTTCATAAGTTCTATTATCGAATATGCAGAGATACTTTTAACTGCCGATGTTACAGATCCGGGTTTGTACTGCAAATTTATAAATTTCTGTTTCTCAACTTTTATGATCTCTGTAATAAGAAAGTAAAAATGCAAAAGTTTTTTCTCAATTTAAAATAATAATCAAACATGGCTTCTCCGAAAAACAGCGCTTCTCTTTTTCAGGCCCATAATTCCCTTCATGCAAGCCGTACCCCCCGAAGTGCTTCTCGCGACCACAACTGTGGACCCGCTGGCTCCTCCGGAACTACAAGTGCCCCGTCCCCCCACCCCTCTGAAGAGAACAGTGGCTGTGCAGACTATCTACCGGGACGGGGAGGCCCAGACGGATCCCTACTCACCCGAGTATGTGATCAGACCTGGATCTGCACCGGAATTGCTCACTTTGGCTACTTTGTCTTATGGTGAGTCACAATTTAATCATACGATTTCAATTGAAACGTTGTTCTTAAAAAGTATGTAGTATAAGTCGAGAATTGCTAACTGTCAAAATTAGGATGAAATAAAAAAATATATATATCCGGTTTCTGCTTAAGTTACTGTTCAATGATCCGACCATAGTCTTAAAAATTACCACAAAAACCTTTTTTTTTGTTCTCAAAATAATGTCGGTGTTTTTTCTGCGTGGTGTCATAAAAGGAGCTGAATTAATACTAGAGATTAGGTTTATTTGACGGTCATAGTAGAAAAAAAGGTAATTGAAAAACAATTTTTGTAGAAAAATCTCTAGAAAAACGGGGAAAAAAATGTCAAATGTTAGAGTTTTTTTCCACTTTGAATTTTTGAAATTTTTCATTTCAAGAAAAAGAGAAGTTAATTGAATAAATCAATTAACCAGGCAGCAACTAAATGCTTGAGTTTACAAATAAGTTAATTTACATACTTCATGGGCAACAAATTCTACTTTTACTGGTATACAACTTTCACAAAAAAGTTCAAAATAAAACCAGTGTTAAAAGTTACATCATTGTTCTGCTACTTGGACAGAGTAAAAATCAAAATAAAACCATTGATAAAAAATACATCATTGTTACCCTCGGAACTACCAGAAATATTCAGCTTAGTTGCAGGCGTAATAAACGTAAATGTATTAAACCTACAAAGATATCGTCAAAATAGAATGGTTTTAAAACAAAACTTCGAACACGTCATTCGCACTTTTTGTAAAGTTATCTGAAAATTTTAGGTGTCTGTTTTTTGATATTATGTGATGAGTTAGCCTACAGCAGAACTTCTAGTCCGAGGAAATTGTTGAAAACTTTGAGAGCTCTATATGCATTTCGTTTTTTTCCTATTTCAATTCTACAGTGAAAAGTAGGTTACACAATTTACGATTTCATGTAACAAAACAATCCGAGTTAAAATTACCATGTGTGATAGTTTCTGCTGCGTATTGTAACAGTTTACGAGCGTATACTTCAAAAATAGTGTACATTTTCGATTGCTGGAACAAAATGTCAGTGGGAAACCTCCATGGTTTTTTGTAAATAAAGCGCAGCGTGCGTTTTTGGAGTAAAAAAAAACAAAATATTTTACAATTTTAAAACGGAGCCATAAATAATTATACCATGCTCTTTAATCGGTTTATTGTTGCAATTATAGAACCTCAGTCTCTGAGATTGCTTTAAATATTGTTTGACAAATCTTAGAAATCCTACCAATTTCGAAAATCTGTTGCACACAGTTGACACGTGGTACTGAAAATTCAATCAATTATCTCATGTAAACCTAAATATTTCACCAAATCCAGTTCCATTTTGTGTATCCATCAATTACAACTTAGTTTTTTGAGTGATTTGCATTGATGTTCACAAAATAAATTTTCGAAATATTTAGACTCAGACGATTGATTTTCAAACAAATGGAAACTTTTGAAAGCACTACGCTTATTAAATTTTTAGATCCTGTTTTCAGAAACAGTTACACAACTATCATCTGAATACAAACCCTCGGATGAATTCGGTGTCGAAAAACAGCTCGCCATGTCAATAATGTATAATAAGAAAAGTAGAGGACCCAAATTCGAACACTGTGGAATCTCTATCGAGTTATGTGAAGTCCTAGAAAATTTCTTCTCAATAGCAGCGAATTGCTTAATTTACTGAGATTAAAGTTAATTAGGTCCCCAAAAATTCCCCTGATGCCCATACAGTTAAGCTTATGTACCAGTGTTTTGTGATTGACTATATCAAAAGCTTCATTTAAATGTAAATAAACGCTCCAAACCTGATAACCTTCGTCAATTTTCTTCTTGATGGACTTTGTCAGTTTTAGAACAGCTCGGACCGATGAAAAAATTTTGTCCAAACCAAAAAAAGAATCACATAAGACTTTGTTTTTATTAAAAAAAACATATTATTCTGAGGGACATTGATTCTCCTAGTACTTTACTGATGGCAGTCAGAAGTGAGATTGAGCGGTAATTAGAAGTCTTTGGCTTGTCACCAGTTTTATGAATCGGAACAGTTTTGCAAGTTTGAAAAAAGCGGGAAAACAACCTTGGCTATAGCATTTATAAAAAAGAACAGATAAGTATTCCAATAAAACGAGAGATGAAATTTTTAAAATTGTGTTGTTGATACCATCAACACCTTCATCGGTTGAGTTATTTAATGATTTAATTATTTCAAAAATTTCTGTCATTTCTACAGGGAAAAGTAAATTGAAATTTGTTAATTCGGTCAAACTGGTTGAAAACGAAACTTTTTCTATTTTTTTGTTCATATCCTTTCCTATGCTTGAAAAGTATTCGTTTGCTTGTTCTGCATCTAACTGACAGTCATTGTTTTTTTTTTCGTTAAGTTCACGCAATCTCCTAACATATGCAAAGAATTCCTTTTTTTTGTGCCTAAGTAGTCTATCAATTTTAACACTTTTAACGCTTTTTGAGTATCCGCTATGAGTTTCGTCGTCTAATTTCGAACGCTTTTGTAGCGTTTATTGTCAGCCTAAGATCAACACGACGGAAGTTTTATGCATTTTTTGCCTTTTGCGAACGAGGGGTTTTTAAAGCGGTGTTAAACCAGGAATTTTGGAAAAAATTTGGTTTCGCGTTTTTTTTCTGATTGGTAAAAACACTTTTATGTTGGATTGAATTTCAGTTGTTGTTAAAGCAACTCAAAAATCTATATCGTTACCAATCAGTTTTATCAAATCGATCCTTCAATTTGTACAGCAAATTGCAGACTATAGCATCATCCAAAATTTTCCAAAGAACCCTTCGCCAGAAAAAAAAGAGGTTTTTTCTCAGGCGCCAGAACTAAACTAGTGACATGTGAAAGCATATAATGATCAGTTATATCACAAGTTAATGTATCAGTTTTCTCACTGGTCAAATCACGATTAGCTATCACATGGTCAATGCAACCCTTTCGAGTTTCTTCGATTTTTGTCGGAGCATTTGTATTAGTTAAAGAAAACGCATAAGATTGGTTCAAATGGAAGAAACCGCACGTTAATTTGTTGTCTACTTAAAATCCCCCAAAATATAAGATATCTACATTATCATTCATAAAAATAGTTGTTTTGGTACTTGGAGAATTATAAATGGCAGCAACCGAGTCGTTTGTATTGTTTGTTTATAGTTCAGCAAGATAAGGTCAAAACACACAATTAAGTCTAAATTACATTTAAGTAATTTTTGTCAAAAATTGCTACACCGCATACTTTGTTTTTGAAAGATAATTCAAAGAATGATTGATAGCTTGATAGCTATCAATTTTAAAAAATTCTGTTTCACTTGTTTGCCAAATTTTGCTTAAAACAATTGCTGCCGGGTTAAGATTATTTGATTGCTTACAGCACTAAAGAGCGCCAACATTTTCGAAAAAGATTTGATGTTAAGAGAGATAAATTCAAAAACAATTTTAACGTTCAATGATTTTTTCTCCATTTTCATAAGAAGAAAATAAATTGTCTGCAAAAAATTGTGATTTTACTATGAAGAGCCTTCTCATTGACCATGTCAACTATTCTCTACAGTTAACTGATTTCCCGTCAGGAGTTTAGCCCGTAGACCAAATAAAATGACCACATTTTCTATCAGTAAGTTCACCATTAGTACTGAATACACGTGCTCTATGCATTGCCGAATTTACACCAGGTATTCTTGATTGCTGATTGTACTTTTCAAGAGCAACTTCCAATTTTTCAAGCTGCTCAATATCTTTTGATGAATAAACAGGCCGAAATGCAACCCCATCATTTTCATTTGGTACAATAAGCTGCACTTCGGAATTGTTAGTCACAACTTTGATACCCTTGTCTCTAGCTAGATTAAGTAGATCGCGGTCGTGGGGAGGGAGACCTTCACTTAAGTAAACTGGTTTTTCTTTTCCTAAAGGTTGAAAAATTGTCTCTTGGATCTCCAAAAGAAAATTTTCTGACGGAATTAAACAAATTTAACGATTAATGCAAGACTGTTTGTGTTACCCAGATGATGACACACGTTAATATCGGTAGGGGTGAGATCAGACTGAATTTTATCTCGAAATAAGGCACAAAAACTCTCAGTAAGGTTTTCAAATATCATTTACGGAGGATTACTTACAATGATTGTTTCCTTGCTAATGTACATTTCTGTTTTTAAGACACGATTTTCAAAATTTTCCATTTCATAACAACTATAAGCCAAATCCTGACTATGAGTCTCATCCATTTGCGAAAATGAGCTTTCCAGAGACTTAAATCTGTTTTCTTAAGTCTGAAAAAACAAACTCACCCGTATACAAAGTTCCTCCCAGTTTTCAAATGGTCGGAACAATAATCGATCTGAAAGGTGATTTTTGTGCGGGTAGCCAAACCATTTTTGTTGCCACGCTCCATCAATTCAAAAACGATAACTTATTTCAAGCAGGTGCCAACTTTTCTAAACCTTCATGCGCGTATGATAACGACCTCTGCAAAACATTTTCCAAAACTGTTTTGAAAAATGTTGTCGGAAAACTTTGATCTTCGTATCGATGTTGAGCTAACGGACAAGTACTTATCGATTTTTTCAGGTATCTATTTTATGACTCTTTTCAGATTTCCTCCCCTTTTTAAAATTACAATTTAAATTTGTTAAAAAAATTGCGTTCATACGGCAATTTGCATGAAGAAAAAGTGTAACAATCTGTTGACTTGTTAATGCACGTTCAATTATAATTGAGATCATCAAAAGCACTTTTAAACATACTTTTGTAACGTGAGTTTGCGAAAAAAAAATCAAAGGGGGCAGGAAAAGAGTCAATTTTATTTAATAGCCAAAAAGAAAAGAAACTGGTGTACATTAGTGTCGGGCCTACATTAGTGTTTTCCAGATCACGGTCTGCCGGCCGGACTGGCGGAGGTGGAGATGATTGAAAGGGCAAGGGCCAAGAGACAGTGGGAGGCTCAGCTGCCCCAGTTGCACGGGGACGAGAAGGAGTTGGACAAGCGACAGCGGATGATGGACGAGATGGAAAGGGCAGAGTGGCAACTGAGGGAGGTCGAGATCGAGAAGTGAGTCATGTCGCCAGTTGGTTTAAAACAGAAGGATTCAGGATTGAACCCCTGAGTCTGATTCGGTTTTTTTAACGCATCTTTTTCAAAACTTACAATTCATATAGAGTGGAGACGTAATGATATCGATATCGACGTAGAAAACTGAGTCACATCGCCTGTTCATTCAGATTTTGTTAAAAGCAGAGGATCAAAGGATCAAATCTGGAGTCCGCTTAGAATTGTCAATTCTTTCATGTCTCATAAATCTAGTTCTCTGCCATCTAGTTCATTTCTGTTTTATTTAATTTTTTTAAAAGGCAAAGCAAAGTATTATAGACAAGAATGATATATGTTTAATTTTATAAGTGTTTTGGTGTAATTTGAAAAGGATAGAGCTTATAGAAAAAAACATCATTTTGCTTTAAAAAGCGTTGGCGCCGCCAGTAATCTAAATGAAAAATCCTTATGAACATAGAAAAACGCCCTAACAATCTTTAAACAATGCCCTATATTCATTTAAAAAAGCCCTAAAAACTAAAAAAAAAAAGCGCTCCGGACTAAAATCGGTCCTGTTTCAGATTGCAGGAGGCGCGTCTGGAGCTGCTGAAGCAAATGTTGAAAGAGAGGGAAGAGAATCACAACCAGCTGACTTCAAAGAGACTTGACAAACTGTGGAGCGACAAACAGCAGACGAGAGACGCCAAGGTCAAGAAGATCCGCAACGACTACCTGAAGAGTCAGTAGTAGTATCCAATAAACCACCCTCTCACCCCCCCCCCCCCCAAGCACCACCACCACCAAAATTTGGTTTTGTGGTGATTCAATAGGTTATAATAATATTTTTTATTTTCAAGCCAGAAACTCATACCCAAATAGCGTATGAAAATGTACATTAACGATATTTAAGTTTGACTTGGGAGAATACCAAACAGGCGTCCACCTGTCGCGTGGCATTTACAACAAGGCTTTTCGCGGAGATCAAGCGTGAAAACTCTCGTAGCTCTCGTGGTCCTTTTTCACGAAATTGTGTCAAGTAAAACACGCATTCGAGTGAAAGCTCCTGAAATTTTAATGAATGAACATTGTATTCTGGTTTCAGACGTTCGTCGTCTGGAACGTAAGAGGAGTGGGTTGGAGGGTGACCCTGAGAGGAAGAAGGACATAGTGGACAAGTACATAGACTGTGGTTCTCAGGTGTATGCCCCTATGGCCCGCTTCGGGGTGTTCATAGACAGAGGAAGCGAACAGTATAATATCAAGAGCGCATACTTGAACAGCTACGAAGGTAATATACTCTTTTATATAATAATTTGCAAAAAGTTAGAAGTAATTTTAATTTCTAATAAGTAATCTCATTTTGAGCAATTTTTCATTCAAATTAAAACCAATTCTGGTTGCCAAATTTATCCAAACGGTCCGCCCTTTGGTATAACTTTACGATATCCATTTTTGGCTGGCCAGCCTCAAAATTTTTCTAAACGCGCCTTTGGCGCCAATATAACTACTTTTGAGGGGGGAGCGTGCGCCGAAAAACGCAATTTTTTGTTAAAATTTTCCAAAAAGTGCCAAAAACGCCGTTTTGTGGACTGTTATCTTAAAAATTTTGCCTGCGGCGCAGAAAAACTTTGACAAATCAGGGTCTTCTGAGTATTTTCGGAGAGCACCGAAAAAAGGTCCGCAAAATGTTCAAATATTGTCCCCCCCCCCCTAGAAAAATTTCTGCGCACGCCACTGACTCTTATATAGGTGTTGCTGATTTTTTCTAAGTTTTTTTTTCAGATAAAAGTCTTTTGATGCACTTAGGTATAATGCACTCTTTGAGTTCGATTGAAATTCATCTGCTGAAAGTGGCGTAAATAGCACTCTCCAAATACGAACGTTCAAATGGCGCAAAAATTCGTGAACGATTTCTAGTTTCGAAAGTGGTATTTATTTTTAAGAATTTCCAGCGGGATAAAAACTCCACCTATCGATCCAGTTTTCTCGAGTTGGGTTCATGTTATCAAAAAAGGGTCAATCATAAATTGTTCTTAAATTTCAAAGAGCTTAAAGGGCATCTATTTTTTTCTTTGAAACTCAAAAGTTGAGATTTTGTCAAGAAAAACAGTGTTTTTTTAACGTTTACCTGCGTTCATTACTTTTTTTTATAATCTTCGATTGGCTATCTTTTGAAATTTATGGTGAACTGAAATATACTTTCTAGTTGGAAAAGTAACTTTTGCTTGCGAAAACTGTCTAAAGTAGGTCATTTGCTCTTTTTAATTAATGTTGTCTGTTCAAACTCTCAATAACATTTTTAAGTGTTTTTAGCTCAAGTAATAACTCAGGCTATTTCAAAAGACAAAAGGAATATGCAAGGAATTCTCTTTTTTGATTACTAATGAGAGTTGTAAATAGAGTACATTCAGGGGCGAGTCTGGAATTTTCTTGAGGGGTTTGTCGACGTTTTTTTTAGGTCTACCAAATTGATTTTTCGATCTCTCCCAAATCACTACAATAGACCCCTGTTTCGGTCAAATTTTGTGCGCCGCAGGCAAAATTTTGAAAAACAGGCCAAAATTTTGACCAAAAAATCGCGTTTTTTGGGCGCGCGCTCCCTCCTTAAAGTTTGTATGTAGGCGCCTTTAAAGGTCCGTCACCAAATATGGATACCTCAAAATAGTACAAAGGGGGACCTTTTGGGTCGGTAGGGGGTCGAATCCCTGAGAGGGGGGGGGGGGCGTTGATACAACATGGATAAAACTCAAGATAATTGAAATGATATTAGCAAAGAGACAGCATCTTTGATAGAGTTTTTTTCTATGATATTGAAAAATAAACTGTAAGTTTGAAAGATGAAAAAATGAATCCGAAAAAAAACATCTAGCTTTTCGCATCTCTGTTTAGGTCTTTGTGAGTTGGAGAAATACTTGCCCGAGTTCATTAAGAACCCAACAGTGAAAGTACCTGTGAAGAACAAGAGGGGAGGGGCTTCCAGTGGGGGAGGGGCAGGGGGCTATCAGAAGAGGGCGGACAGACGAGACGCACAATTGGCCGATCTGTACGACAAGATGAAACAGGTGTGACTTAATTGATAATACAGAAATTTTTTCCTGCTAGAAAAAGTTTGCTTAATCGAAAGTGTGCGCTCAAAAACGAAAAAAAAAAATCGTGTTTTCGAAATAGTTGAAATTTTTAAGTTGGTTTTAAGGTGGTCAATTTAAGGTGGTCATTACAAATTGAAAAAGCAGGCCGACAATATTTTTTGAAATCGGCCCTCTCGTAAAAAATTTTTGATATATAGCTTTCTAAATCCTAGCGTATGAGTCACGTTGTTTGATGTTGCTTTTTGACAACAGGGGTCCATATTGCACCAGGCCTTTCTCTCTCGGCCAAAAACTACCCCCCAGCAGCGAGTAAGTGACGTGTATGTAGTATTAGAATGCGGAAACATCCAACCTATTCTTCAGTGTGATCACGCCCATCACAAAGTAGTCAAATATTTCACCCCATTGTGCTTCTATTGGTTGTAAAATCAAAACTTTGAGCATTTTTCATTATAGCAGCAATCAACAGTTAACACTTATCATACGGATTTTTCTACCCACCTTATCCTCCCACAGCACCCCCCCCCCCCTCACACCTAAAATTCAATTTTCGAAGACTATTTTAACATGGTCATAATGTAATTGGTGAAAAAAAAAGTTCTGTACGGTGAAATATAACTGTTCTGAAATTTTTTGATCTTCTTACCTTGCACCAAAAATCATGTGTTGAGTCAAAATAGCATGCAAATCATTATGAAAATCGAAAAAATTGCAATCAGGGCAGGGTGAGTTTAGGGGGGGGGGGGGTTGAAAGATTTTTTCATACAAAAGGATGTTATTCATTAATGGCTGCAATTTCAAAAAAAATTTAAAAAAACATATAATTCGCAAAGCAACCAAGACAGTTTATATTTTTTATTTTAATTTTTGGTTGTGTGTGTATTTTGTGCTATTTGTGTCTTAAAACATGCACTGCTACTCATCTAGCTCATAACGATAATTCACTGATTTTGCTTTGGACATCATTCAGTCATTAATTTTTTCGGAAAAAAGTCTCTCTAATATTGGTAGTCTCACTGTAATTGTGGTGTGTGTTTTGTTGTCCAGAGGAAAGTGGAAAAAGAGGAGAAGCCGCTTGCATTCCTGCAGAAGGTTGAGAAGCCGGTGTCCAGACCACCCACCCCCACTGTTGTTCCAGTCTCACAGGTGACTCTTTTGGGATCTCCTAAACTACCCCCCCTCCTATGGTACCCTATAATGAATTGCCACCCCTACAATGAAGTAATTCAACGGTTAAGCATAAGTTACTTTTGTACCTAGAGATCCTTTATTCTTCCTCTTCTTCAGCTCATCATAATTCTTTTTATTCTTTTTGTTTTTCTCCTTTTTTTCTTTTTTTAGGCGAGTTGCTATTTTCATTGGCAGTTTTTCTCTCCAGTTAATTACAAATTATTGGCAATATCCTTTTTGGTCATCGAATCGGAGCAAAGATATTATAATAAACTTAAAACTGCTCATTTTGAGGCCTGAATGTAGATCTTCATTCATTTTCACTCCATTTAAAAAGAATCACATTTGAAACATCTAACTATAATTAAAAAACCGTTTTTTGACCGATACAATTGCTCAAGGTCATTAAAATTGCCAACAGTTTGGAATTAACTATCCAAATGCGCTTTAAAACACGTCAATTGTGCCAGATTGAATGAATGAGAAATAATATTAGCGAACCAGAACTTTGAAATATGAACGAAAATGTGATAATTCAGCCAGAGCTAGTTTTTTTTACAGTATTCTCGGATTGAATTTTTTGGCTCATCTGTCATGAGAAAAGCAATAGAAGAAACCGCGACAACTCAAACATTTTTTTTACAGTTCAAAACTTTCTGATTGGATTCAAATTTTTTGGTTCTTCTGTTAAGAGATTAGCAGCGTCTTAGACTATAATCGGACCAACTTAACAATTGCCCCTCTTTTTAACAAAGGGGGGGGGGGAGTTTTTGAGTAGATTAAGTTGTCGAATTTTTGCCCAATCGGAATGCAGCAAAATTCGAATTTTAAATACAACGCTCTAGTGCTAATTCACTGCTTTTATTTAAAGGGGTGACAATTCTGAAGTAGATACCAAAGGGAGCGCGATTGTTAAGTAGAGTTCTTAAATCTAATTTTCCGAATGGGTTTCGTAGGAGGAGGAGGACGCGGAGTTGTCTACAATCAGGCTTCAGGCGCTGATCAGAGGGCGGGCCACTCAGAACATGATGCGCGAGGGAAGAGACAAACGCATTGAACTCATCCGCGAACTCCGGTAGGAAGCAAAACAGCTGCTTTCAACTCCTCCAAAATACACCCCCCTCCCCCCCCCCCCCCCCCCTAAACACATCGTTACTTTCATTTTCGAAAAAAAGTACTTCAATGTTGTCATAATGCAGTTGCAGTGAAACTTGACATGGTGAAGAAACTTACTATTGTGAACAATTGTGACACATATTTAGTCATAATAACAAATAAATTTCTATGAAAATAGAAACTTTGAAAGGGCGGTGGAAAAAAACAGAAACTTTGAGTTCAGATCTGAAACACTGGAAATTTTAATTTTGAAAACTTCTGTTTTTTTATGTTTCTGTTTTTTTCCTCTTAGTTTCACAGGTTATCAAAATAGTCAAAGGTTTGGGTTATTCTTCTATGTAGGACACACGCCCCCTTTTCGCACCGACGCTCTTAGGAATTTAAAACTCTCGCCATATGAAAAAGTTCCCCTTTGATGCTGTTTAAAGACATGTACTTTTGTTTGTTCAAACCAGGAATTTTTTATTAAAAATAAGTGAGCTGTTTTGCTTAAAAAAGGTGTTTTTGGTGATTTCAAAGTGCTAGGATAATGGACGTTTTTTACGCCCTTGGTTTCTAGGTTGTTAAGTTTGAGACACCTGAAAATGGATTTTTAGGATATACTAAGTTTACTACATTGTCATTTACAGTGATTTTCTTGTATATTTTTGGCTTGAAAATAGTTATTTAGAAGCAGAAAATATACAAAAGCTCACTGAAGATGACATTTTGTGTGACATTTAAATGACATTAGTAATCTTAGAACTGCGTGGGAGATCATTATTGGACCTACAGATCCGTTTTCAGGTGTTTCAAACATCAGAACATGGAAATCATAGGGGTGTATCTAGCATATAAATGTTATATATAGTTTTGATTATAGTATGTTTATATTGAATTGGGGGACCGATCGCTTAGCAGACAAATCTTTTAGCATAAAAAAAGAAAAATGAGTTTTTTAGCAGACCAACGTAATAAAGTGATGGATGATTGATTGATAGACCCAAAAAGACGCTCAGTCTGGGGCCAAGCTCCCCCAATTAAGTCAATTATCTCACGATTTGTCAACAATTGTCAACAACGATTTGTGTTGTTGTAGATCGACACACGCGTTGCAAGAGGCGGAGCAGAGTATGAAACAGACGGAGTTGGAGGACACTCTGGGTCTGCAGAGGAAGAGAGTGAGACACGAGCACAAGGAGAGTGTGATTGACAGATATGTGTCTGATGCAGAGGGCGCGGCCACCGGCGACATGATGGACTTCCTCAGCAAGGAACTCATCAGGTAAACTAAACACCCCCCCCCCCCCCCCGACCCACTGCCTTTTCTAATGCCTGATAATTATTATGAATATTACTGTTAAGCGCGAAAAAAAATCTTTCATTTAGGTCGCGATGATTTTTTCAGAAACAAATGAGAAACTGATCACGCTCAATTTGGATTTTTTTTGCGTTTTTACTTTTTACTTAGGAATTTGTATCTTCTTTTTCTTCTTTTCCCTTGTTAAGAAAAGCAAATTTGACCAGCAAATGTTTAAAGGTCACAAAAACATGAATTGTTGTTCAAATTTTTGTTGTTGTTGTTGTTGTTGTTGTTGTTGTTGTTGTTGTTGTTGTTGTTGTTGCTGTTTTTGTTGTTGTTGTTGTTGTTGTTGTTGTTGTTTTTGTTGTTGTTGTTGTTGCTGTTGTTGTTGTTGTTGTTGCTGTTGTTGTTGTTGTTGTTGTTGTTGTTGTTGTTGTTGTTGTTGTTGTTGTTGTTGTTGTTGTTGTTGTTGTTGTTGTTGTTGTTGTTGTTGTTGGTGTTGTTGCTGTTGCTGCTGTTGTTTTTGTTGTTGTTGTTGTTGTTGTTGTTGTTGTTGTTTTTGTTGTTGTTGTTGTTGTTGTTGTTGTTGTTGTTGTTGTTGTTGTTGTTGTTGTTGTTGTTGCTGCTGCTGTTGTTGTTGTTGTTGTTGTTGTTGTTGTTGTTGTTGTTGTTGTTGTTGTTGTTGTTGTTGTTGTTGTTGTTGGTGTTGTTGCTGTTGCTGCTGTTGTTGTTGTTGTTTGTTGTTTTCGTTAAATATAAAAAATTGATACAAAACTAGGTAAACAAAACTTTTCGCATTACTCGATGAAGCACACCTAGGTCTCGCTGAAGCTGCATGTGCATGTTTGATATTTTTGAATTTGTTATACTGATGCGGTACAAAATGCGTAATTTCAAAAATTAGATTCTGTCCAAAAATTTAGTCGTTTCTCTACAAAATTAAACGAGAAGAGTGAAAATTTGAGATTTTGGAATTTTCCCAAAGGAATCAATTTTCTGTTACAAAAAAAATAGCCACTTTGACAAAATTTCGCGCAACCACTTCTTTCGATGAAGTATTCAAATTATCCCAAAGACGTCCCATTTATTATACAAAAAAGTGGCCGCTACTGAGCTACCGTTTTTTTTGAGTTTTTTTATGAAAAACGAAAGTTTCTAAAAAACGGTCAAAATTCAAAAACTTCGACTTTTCGAAATCTGTAACTTTTTTTGCAAAAGTAATTTTCGAGTTAAGTCACAAAACTTCAAAAAAATGGTTTAAGTTTCAAAACTTTCATTTGTTTGAATGCCATAATTTTTTTTTTCAAAAAAAAAGTGGGCGGAGCAAATTACAAAAGGTAGTTTCCAACAAGTAGCTGTTGTCTCGATTAAACCTATGATATCAGATTTGGCAGGATAGTAATTGAGAAAACTCGTCAAGAAATCAAAGCATTTTGTCTAAAAACAATTGTGTGTAGCCCCTTTTGCAAAAAAAATGGCCAATAATGTTTTCGATTGAAACCAAAAACCCAGGTTTGGCTGGGTAATTTTCGCGAAAAGTCAAAAAGTTTCAAAAACGGTGGACAGTCAATTTTACTCTTCCGAAGGCTATAACTTTTTGTATCAAGAGGCAAAATTTTTTTGGTGTAGTTGCTTTTGCAAAGAAGCTTCTCACAACTCGTTCTTTGGGTTTAACCCAATATCTCTGATATGGGAAAGTATTTTTCGTTAAATTTCCTAAAACTTAGAAAAAATTTATCCCAGCGCCATGACATCTAGTGCCAAAATAATTTTGGCCTGGTCGCGTTTGCAAACTAGCTTCCCACAACCCGTTCTTTGAATCCAACATATCAGATATTGGACAGTATTATTAGAAAAAGCTCATACACTTAGACATTAAAAAAAACTGACTTTTTCGAGGGTGATAACTAAATGTGCAACAAAAAATATCACTGGCCGCTAATACGGAAGAGCTTTATATTACCCATTATTTCCATTGAACCCACAACCTCAGGTTCGGGAAGCTGTTTTTCGAGAAAACTCAAAAAACTCGAAAAACGGCCAAACAAAACAAAAGTTTCACAATTCCTTGCGTGAAAAAGTTTGGGCGTACCCGCTTATGGAAAGAAATTTTTCAAATCCGCTCGTTTCATTGAAATAAAAATCTCAGATTTTGTACGTTAGTTGTTGAGAAAACGAAAAAAAAATCAAAAATATTGGTCGAATATTCCCCCCACGGACATGTTCTAAAGCTGTAGACAAAAAGGTAAAGTAAAATGAGACCAGGCGAGTATGCATACACACTTAAGCTTGGGCGGGCTTTCTATGGATTTGTTTTTTTTTGAAAATCAGTAAAAGGGTTTTCGAGAAAAAGTAATTTTGTTGCGAAAAGTGATAGAAACTTCCAAAGAAAAAAAATAAAAAACCCGATCCGAAACATTTTCATAATACTTGTTTTTATCAAACAGGATTTTGAGGCAAACTTGCTAAGCAAGACATTTGAAAAATTAGAAGCTGAACAATTTTATGAAGAGGAAACAAGGCCGACAATCTTTGAGCAGACACCAGTTGAACCGAAAAAAAAAACAGATTGTGTAAAAAAAAATTTTTTTTTCAATTTCACGTCCCCCTGAAACTACCCTGTAGTAAATATTGCCCACCCAAAGCTAAATGTAACTTCGTACCCACTCAGCTAATACCAACCCATAAGTGATTCAACTGATTTTGTTAAACTGTTTTTTAACCCGAAAAAAAGTCTTCCTTCCAATTTGATAACCTTTGCTAATCGCAAGCGTAATTAGGACTATTATGATTATTATAAATGTTCCGGCCACTTGAACAATGGCCTATGGTGGAGGATTTGCTATTTACCGCCCGATTTTTGGTACCTCGTGGAAAGCTCGTAGGATTGGTCAAGTATGGTACTATTTTAAGAACGTAGTGGTCCTGATTTGGTTTTAAAAAATCAAAAATGTGGCACGATGTCTGAATTTTTCTGTTGTTGAGAGTATAGGACACGGCGTTTATAAACTACAGTTAAGAAACCCTCAATTGAATTCTACCGTAATTTAAACATTGTTTTAATTAATACTGCGTTTCATTTTTGCCTTTTGAAACTTATTTTAATAGTCTTAACTGAAAAAATAACATTAGAAAATTAAGCAAAAAATGAAAAAATATTTTTTGTCCTGTTTTGAATAGCTGTGGTTCAACTTCTATGTGCTACATGCAAAACAACCACAATATTTTTCATCACTTTACAGCTGTCGCTCTTTTTTCTCTCTAGACTCCAGGAAGAGAGGAGGATTCATGCATTCAGCATGTTGGCTGAGAGGGAGAGGAGAGTGAGGGAGGCGGAGGAGAGTGGCAGACGACAGGTGGAAGAGAGGAGGCGCAGGGAGGAAGACGAAATATTCAAACAGGTACGCCTCATCACATATGACAAGGGGTTCAAACCCCGCGCATATCCAGATTTTTTTTTTGGGTTAATTATGAACATTTTCGATGGACTGAACAATTTTAAACAATAGAAAAGAACTCGAGATGAGTTCTAGAGAAATTTCCTGTTTGGTAAAAATGGTTTATAGACCTAACAATTTTTTTTGTTTGTCTGCCAGGTGATGAAAGTGCACCAGAATAGTGTGAATAGTTACTTGGAGGATGTGATTCTGGAGGCGGTGGACGAGACGGCCAAGGGCAGAGCGAGGGAGGAGATCCAAGCCATGGCCAGGAACATCAATGACATTGCCTACGAGAGAGAACATACACTGTTAGTATGTATTTGAAAACAGAAACATTTTTTATAAAAGGGCGTCAATTATTTAAAATTTTTCAATATCAATTCGACCGACTAAAAAAAGAGAAAATGTTCTTCAGGAATTCCATTTTTGTATTTCTCAAAAATGGAAGTTCCTATCATTTACATCAACACCAATTGTACCATATCAAGTTATAAGATACGCTACCACAATTGAATTAAAAACGAATAATTATCTATTGACTCCTTCATCAACTCTTTGAAATCTTGAGGTCACAAAGTAGTAACTTGCTAATTTAAAAATAAAGTTTAAAAAACCATTAAATGAAAGCTTCTGGTCAATTGCTTCTGTATGACGTCATTGTTTAGTACCAACCGGGAGAGTCAAGAGGTGGTGTCTGAGATGGTGTATGGGTTCCTGCTTCCAGAAGTGATGCGGGAGGCCCAGCAGAAGAGGGTGCATCTGGCACAGAAGAAACATCTGGTGGCTGCCCATAAGACCATACACAGGGAGGGAGAAAGCATGCTCAAATCTGTATCCAGGTTGGAATCCGCCTCTTAAACTATAGTAATGACCCGTACATGCATGCTGCGTGAAGCAGAGTTGGAGATTTTGTTACCTCGACAACTCGCAACGGAAGACAACTGCCAAAATTTAACGAAAACGAAAAGTCGCAAACTTTGAAAATTAGATTGTAAATGAAGAATTTTGGTGTAAGGTCACCGATTAGGTGTGTTACATGCACGTCGCCGATTCGGACCGATACCCGGCGCTAAATTTTGTATAAAGTCCTACACTTTGTTGGCAAGCTCGCAACACGTTGGCGCGACTGCGGCGGTGAGTTATTGCGATATGTCTCTTCAAGCTAGTTGCTTTTTTTTTATTCCTAGTTGTCTTTTGTTGCGAGTTGTCGCATTACAGCACGTTTTAGTCAACCCGGGCATGCCTCTCGTATTAATTTTTGGAAGATGAATTCAATTTCGAACTCCAAAAAATTCTCTACAAATTACCAAAGCCAGGTTTTTGTGACCTGTTTTAAATATTTCCGTTTTCTTAAGCAATGCGATTATTTTTTTGCTTAGACTATTGCTACCATATACGTAGTTCGCAGTTTAATGTATAAAGACCAAATATCCTAAATTTCTGAAATTTATCTGGCTTTGCAAGCCCCAAGTTTTGAATATTGAGTAAGATTCCAAGACGACAATGTACCTTTGCAAGCTTTTTTAGCAGGACTAGCATCTACAAGTTCAACTTTCGAGCTTCATGTATCATATAAGTTCCGTAACGATTTCTGATATTTCCTATTTTTTTTCTTACTGCCCCGTCCAATTAGCGCAGCTTGAAATGTTTAAACCAAAATTAACGATTTTTTTTATCATCAGCGAAAGCTATGAACCAATGAAAAACCTCTTTTAGATGAATCAGTCCATTGTAGTCTTTAGTTTTTTTCAGAGAGATCAGTCTTGAATCTGAGAAGGGTTCGAAGGACTCCGGAAGTCAAGCTGACGAAGATCCCTCTCGAAGTGCTCCAGTTGTCCCGGAACCAGCAGAACCCGCAACATCCGAGGCACCGGAGCTTCCGACAGAGGGAGAGACGCAAGAAACCACTGAGAGCACAGAGTGAAAGTGACGCCAAAAAACGGCTTCTTATATATAAATTGGCTACAATAACTATCGATAAAAAATTTCTGTAACCTTAAAAGTAAAAGAGTAAATATGATTTTAAATCTGGCAATGTTTTTAAGTAGGGTTGATGAATTAATATCGAAAACTTTCAAGATGAAGCACAATCATTCTTTTGTGACAAAGAAGAACTTCTCCTTACGAAACAAGACTGCTCGTATATCAGAGCGAGGCTCTGAATGTTCCGACTGCACTTTAAGAACTGCTAAAATGTTTTTGAAAAACTGACGAAATAATTTTCTTCTACAATTTGCTCCCACACACGCTAACAAAAAGGGATTTTTTATCGTCTGTAAAAAAATACGACCAAATCTTTGCCTCATTTCAATTTGGAAAGCAATAACCCGACACTTACACGTGCTAAAAGAACGCAAAAAATTGCGCATTAATTATCTCAAAATGGCCAAATTAGCAGTAATTTAATTTTCATTAGAGCTCCGGCTAACAGTATTTTTGGATAGCTTGAATCAGGGGCGGATTTAGGGTGGAGGGGGACGCCCCTTTCCTCATGGATTCGACCCACTGCCGACCCAAAGGGTCCCCCCTTTGTACTAATTTGAGATAGCTATTTTTGGTGACGGACCCTAAAAATTTTCTAAAGGAGCCTTAGGCGCCAATATATACTAATTTTGAGGGGGGAGCGCGCCAAAAAAACTTAATTTTTTGGTAAAAATTTTCCAAAAAGTGCCTAAAAACGACAAAAATTTCGAAACATTTTTGAAAATCCACCGCCCCTCTCGAGAAAATTCTAGATCCGCCCCTGACTTGATTTTTTTTGAATTGCTTAGTCCAAATTTGACTGATTAAAGAAAACTGGCTCTGGGATAATCAAGTTGAAGACCTAAATGATATGACTAAAGGCGTTATCGTATGTGCTATAAACTCATAAGCGGCAATTTAATCCGTCTCAGAGGTTTTCCAAATTCAATTGAGGCATGATTTTTGCCACAGCAACCAATAAAAGCCTGAAAGTGTTGCATATGGCTCAAGCCGCTCAAAAAAAAAGTAAATGATTAGTTGAAGATCATCGTACGTTTTTCATGTTTTGTGGAAAATATTAAGGTATTCTATCGAGCATTCAGTTGAAATCTGCTATAGACATACTAGTAAAATGTGACTTTAAAAGGTCAAAAACAACCCAAGCGTTCTCTAAATCTGAAGCTTTTTGCAGTTTCATTCAGTTTTTCATGCTTGCCATTCAGTTTTATAAAGCAGAGTCTATAAAAACGGCGTGTCTTACAATTTCCATAAGTGAAAAATGTAAATTAAGCTTTTGTTTAATGCCTTCAAAATGTTCTGAAGTAAAACTTGAAAATTTATATTATTTCTTCAAAAGTCGCAAATCATTTCTAAACTCAGGCAAAAGCTTTCTAAAAATAAATTGGCAATCAAAATTGCAACTTTTTAATGCATAATGTAGACCAGAGTTTTTTCACAAATAATAAACACAAACTACACTGTTAATTTTGTGTTTTGCCTGACTTCTGACGCTTTTATTTTCATGAGGTCAAATAATTTTCAAAAATCACACTGCTGATGCATAGACTGATTTTTTCAAGCAAAACCGCATTGAATCATAAAAGCCTGTTAAATGTAGCTGATGGCTTATAAATTCATCAAACCGGGTGTAGTTTTCGAGTAGTTATGTTCAAAAATTCTCAGGTTACTTTTTGTTTTTCAGGAAAAAATTTTTAGGATAAACAACTATTTCGTTGTTTTTCTAATTTGACTGAATTTTCAGACGCCACAAAATCTTGGTAACTCACCATTGCCAGGAAAAGTTGTCGGAATTTAATGATAACATCCTGCAACCAGATGGTGCAGTATCCCGGACTTTATAATGGATTTTGATAGACAGAAATTGACAAACTAATCCAATTTTGGCGTCGTTTAAACTGATAAAGTAACTGGAATTCATGAAATCGAACATTTATTGCCTTTTTTAACGAAAAAAAATTGTTTATAAACTAGTAAATAAAATGAATTATTAATAGATTAAAAAGTATGATTTTCTTAAGCTTCGTTTTTTTTAATCGACTAAAAAAAGTTTAAATGAGTTTTTTTTTTCAATCAATCATCATTTGGCATTTTTTCACCATAGTTCGGTCTACAGCAGAAAGTTGCCAAATGATTGTGAAAACATAATGATCATACTTGCCGGGCCTAATAATAAATGACGTTAATCGCTTAGAAACAGGACTGCTCATTTATCAAGACGAAACCTTGAATGTCTTGTCTGCATTTTAAAGACAACAGGAAAACATTTCTGTATTGAAAAGTCCGGCAAATTTACCCACAACAGTAAGTTACTAGTTTTCAAGCGCTGGAAAATAATCAAAGTAAAAACCAAAAACAATTTTTTTTTATTTCTAGAAAAATGCGATGAAGTACAAAGATAGTTTAAGAACTGGACCTAAAAATTTTCGGGCTTGTTGACCTTGAAATTATCGGGATTGAAAATGGTCAAAGCTAAGTTCATTTTTTCCGGCCAGATAAATGCGTACAAATGGTAATATGCAAAAATAATATAAAGTTAGAAAAAACATTCAAAACGAACGGAAAATAAAATGAAAAAGTCTTGGCATTTGGTTGAATAAAAAGATGAAAATTAAAACCAAAGCAAGCAAAAAACTTCAAAGTCAACGCCATGATTGCACTTGTCAAAGATCTTTGCCGAATTTTACAAAACACATGTCTCCAATTATCTACAAAAGTTTGATACGACCCGAACGCACTTGGACTTTGCCTGGTTTCGAGAAACAAAAAGGTTGTCAAGAATGTGCGTATAAGAGCGACCCGACGTGTTGAGGGACGCCAACAGTTATCATATTACATTCGCCTCAAAAGTCTTAACTTCTCAGCACTTGAACACCCAATAAAAAAAGACGATACAAGAAAAGCATATAGTTTGTAATGGATTCTACGATAGAATTGCCACTGATCAGCTATTCGAGCAGAATGGCAAAGATTTGAGGTGAAGCGAGCGCATCGATCTGCGTTGCTGTTAAGGTGGCAACGAAGTAGAAGTGCGATGAAACGAGTCCATGTTTCGTCACCATCGCCCAATGGAATCGTTGTTTCCAATGTTCCCAGAGTAGTTGTGGCTCCGCCCGATTCGGAGGCCAGAATGCAACAATTCCCAGGGGTTTTCCCTCCATCCGCTGACTGCGCCATAACAAGTGTTGGAAAAACGATACGATCTGTAAGAGTTAACTCAATTTGTTTCTTTAACGTTTAATTCAGACGCTGAATTAGAGCTCAACATCCAGACAAACCAAAATTGGTTGACAGGCAGGTACCTGCTCACATTTTGTAGCGATATTAGAAACTCTCATGAATATAAAAAATTATAAGTAACAACCGAAATAAGTAGCCCTCACATTTCCCTACGGATGTAAAATTTAAATACATAGTAATTTAATTTTGATATAATAAATAGCAACACTGAAACAGCTCAAATTTTAGGCTTATGGTCAATTCTCTCCCTGGGTTACAAGTTTTGAAAGTTTTTGGAATCCGTTTTTTCTCCTTCCTTGGATTCTTTTTCCCCGCCCCTTGGGTTTTTTTTTGTAATAGAGTCAATCATCGCCCCTCCCATTTGTCCACAGATTTACGTCGCCTCTTAATTTTTCGGGTTCCCGAACTCTCGCTCTGCGTCTCCAATTCTCCTTCTTCCTGGCTACTGTTCTAGTCCCGTGATTCCCGTGATACTGGTCTGTTAGGATTTTCATTCGCGCGTTTCGCCTTCGCTTTTCGTCCTTTAGTCGCCGCCCGTTCAATATGTGCCGTCGCCCCGCTCGTTCCTTGGCCCGCTGCAACCGCTTCTTCTCAACTGGTAGTCGCGATGCAATGGTATCTAATGGCCGATAATCTTCACTATTCGAGTCATCTGATGGTTCTTCGATTACCCTTGCTTTTTGTGTCTGCATAGTTTTTTAAATTTCTAGGGGCTTTTAAATTTCTTTGGGACAATTGGTTTTAGCTTCATTGCCGCGGCACTTTTCCTAAGCACAGACCCGTTTTTCAGTTTGGTGGTATGTTCAGATTCAGATACTGTGTTAGATTTTAATAATTTGTACCGGTTTAGCGTTTTTCTAGTAGTCCGCTGGTAGACCTCGACGGCTTTTTGATCCCCTGATCTTTGTCGATCTGCTGATCGCTATTAAGTTTAAGCGGTGACTTTCTCAGTGTTAGATTTTAAATCAGGTCTGACCGATCCTCCCAGTTTGAGATTTGCGGGTTGGCAATCGCATCCAGCTCTGAGTCGTTTTTGTCTAAACACAAACATTTTTGTTTCAGAACGATATTCCAATCCAGGTTTCTTAGACTTGGTTTTTTGGTGAGGTTACCTAAAACAGTTTTATTTAGCCTACGGGCCGTGTGCGCCTTAATAGAGGTTTGCTCAGTGGTTCCATTTGTCGAGAAATGTAACGCGCCTAACGCTTTATCGAAATTAACTCTAATGATTTGTGTTCCTTTTCGGTCGCATAGATGAGCACTAAGTTTTTGAGACTGACATTTATTCTCTCCAACAACCCCGTGCCCCGATGATTGTTTACTGGGGAGTATAAAAGCTCAATTCGTTCGCTATTACAGAAGTTTTTAAACTTGTTGGACATGAAGCATGACCCTTGGTCCACATGGGTTTTACGAGGTACCCCGAGGTGGTAGATTTACTTTTCCAGAATTTTAAAAACCTATTCGACGTTTTGGTTGTAGTAACCATGACCGATTGCCACCTTGAAAAACGATCCACCGCAACTGAACAAAGCTTATTCTGCTCTTTCAAATAGCTTATTGGACCCCAGAAATCCAATTGTATACATTCATTAGGTTCTCTTGGTTCGAGGACGTTTCCAATATCTCCCTTGGAAAGCATCAACGTTTTCAGGTTCTTAATCGCATACGTGCATTTCGTCCCCTTGGATAAGCCCTACTGACCCCCCCCCCACGTGACAATCTTTTCCCACAGCATGTTTTCTCGTAATGGCCCACTTTCTTGCAGAAGTTACATGTAACGGATCTTGCTGGGCATCGTTGTCGGAGTTCAGG